CTACTAAAAATACAAAAAATTAGCTGGGCATGGTGGTGCGTGCCTGTAATCCCAGCTACTCAGGAGGCTGAGGCAGGAGAATTGCCTGAACCCAGGAGGCGGAGGTTGCGGTGAGCCGAGATCGCGCCATTGCACTCCAGCCTGGGTAACATGAGAAAACAAACAAAAAACCCTAAAAACAATCTCTCTCCACCCCTGCCAAAAAACAAAACAAAACAAAACAAAACACCTAGAAATAAATCTAAGCAAAAAAGAGTGGAGGGTGAGGCACAGTGGCTCACATCTGTAATCCCAGCATTTTGGGACACTGAGGTGAGTGGATCACCTGAGGTCAGGAGTTCAAGACCAGCCTGACCAATATGGTGAAATCCTGTCTCTACTAAAAATACAAAAATTAGCTGGGTGGGATGGCGGCAGGTATCTGTAATCCCAGGTACTAGGGAGGCTGAGACAGGAGAATTGCTTGAACCTGGGAGGCAGAGATTGCAGGGAGCCGAGATCGTGCCACTGTACTCCACCTGGGCGACAGAGCAAGAATCTGTCTCAAAAACAAAAACAAACAAACAAAAAAAATAAACAAAAAACAGAAAACAAAAAAGAAGAGTGGGAAGCCCTCTATACTGAAAACTATACATTATTGAAAGAAATTTTTTTAAAAAACTAAATGAATGAAGAAATACATCAAGTTCATGGGGCAGAAGACTCAATATTGTAAATATATCAATTCTTCCCAAACTGATGGACATATTAATTTCAATCCCAATCCAAATATACGAAGGCTTCTTTGTGCGTACGGAAGTTGATATGCTGAATCTAAATTCATACAGAGATACAAATGATTAACAATGACCAAGGCTGGCTGGCACGATGGCTCATGCCTATAATATCAGCACTTTTGGAGGTTGAGGTGGGTGACTCAACTGAGGTCAGGAGTTCGAGACCAGCCTGACCAAAATGGCAAAACCCCTCTCTGCTAAAAATACAAAATTAGCCGGGTGTGGTTGTGCATGCCTATAATCCCAGCTACACAGGAGGCTGAGGCAGGGGAATTGCTTAAACCCTTGAGGCAGAGGTTGCAGTGAGCCAAGATGAAGATGGTGCCATTGCACTCCAGCCTGGGCAACAAGAACAAAACTCCATCTCAAAAAAAAAAAAAAAAAAAAAGAATGGCCAAGGCATTCTGAGGAATAAAGCTGGAAAATTTAACTATCAGATACTGAGACTCACAAAACTACTATAATTAAGGCAGTGTAGTAGTGGGACAAAGATAGACAAGACAGACACACACATAAAGGACTTCTTGATTTATGACAAAGGTGATCCTGAAATGCAACAGATGAAAGAATGACATCTTCAATAAACAGTTCTGGGTAACTGAATAACTATATAGGGGACCAAAAAAAGTCAAGTCCTTACTTCATACTATACACAAAAATCAACTATAGATGATGGATTGCGAATTTAAATGGCAAAGGCAAGCTTTTAGAAAACATGGGAGAATATCTTTGTGACCTTGGAGTACGCAAAGATTGTTTAAACAACACACAAAAAGTACGGCTGGGTGCAGAGGCTCACCTGAGGTCAGGAGTTTGAGACCAGCATGGCTGACATAGTGAAACTCTGTCTCTACTAAAAATACAAAAAAAAAAAAAAAAAAAAAAATTAGCCAGGTGTGGTCATGCTGCAGTCCCAGCTACTTAGGCAGAGGCAGGAGAATTGCTTGAACCCAGGAGGAGGAGGAGGTTGCAGTGAACGGAGATTGTGCCACTGCACTCCAGCCTGGGT